TTGCTATGCCATTTGATTAGTTTAGACATGCTTTGTGTGAATGCCACCTGTTCAGTGTCTAATTACCATATATGTGAATTATGCATAGCCATTTTGTTGCAAGACATTATATATGTGAATTATACAATGCTATCTTGTTGCAAAGGCATTATATATGTGAATTATGCAATGCCATGCTGTTTAGCCAATCATCATGTATGTGAATTATATCATGCTATCATTTTTTTGTATTACGTGTTCCATTTGTCGACAACGTTTGTATATTGAACTACTCTTCCTGTGCATCAGCCATTTGAAGCGGTGATGGAAGTATTTGGAGTGAAAACAAGGTATTCAGAGTAGACAATGCTACCTGCTGAAGCAGACATCTTGCTGGCTACAGAGAGCTCCTCAGAGGAGGATTCAGAGACTGATGACTAGTCCTATTTCCCCCCTAAGGTCTATGCTCAAACTTGGCAGGGTTATATTACCCATGTCATGCATGTTGTCTTGCATTGCTTAGTTTTTACATCATATATAGATTGCCATCTGCTTACTTGCTTACTATATAAATCATATATTTGAATTATATCATGCCATCATGTTTACATAGTACATACACATCATCTATCTGAATTATGGCATGACAACCCATTTAATAAATACACCATATAGTTATATCATCTCATCATGTTTAGTGTTTACAGTCATCATATTTAGAATTATGGCATTCTATCCATGAATGTATGTGAATTATGGCATGCCAACCTATTTAATAAACACATTATATAGTTATGTCATGTCATCCTGTTTACATAGTCTCATATTTTGAACTATGTCTTTCCATCTTTTTTAGTTAGCCATCATAATGTGAAATTGTGTCATGCTATCCTGTTTAGTTAGCCATCATATATGTGAAATTGTGTCATGCTATCCTGTTTGGTTAGACAACATAAATATGAATTATTTCATGCCCTCTTTTATTCCCCACTATCCATTGCACCTGTCTATCATACAATGTCTATACTTTCAATTACTTTTCTTGTTATCAGCCATTTGAATTGGAGAGCGTGATGGCAGTATCTAAGGGAGTAACAACACGGTCTTCAGAAAAGATAGTGCTACCAGTTGATGCAGATAGAACCACGGTTGTACTTGCCCAAGGACCAGATCCACCACACATAACCCAGACTCTCGCAGACTGTACCCCTACCCAGTTGGACAGAGAACCAGCTACACCCCTTTTAACCCCAACCCCGGCATATAGTAACCCAGTTCCAGTTGACACAACACCGTCTCCACCACAGAGCACCCAAACACGAGCGGTTAGTAAGGGAACTGCAGTGCCCAAAGCACGAGGACCACCACTCTGAATCCCAACTCAACGCTTAAAGGAGAAGAAGATTTTTTTCTCAGGTCAGGTTCTGTAGCTATGGTTCATACTCCTTTGCTCTTGCATTACTGTATTTACTCATACCAACTATTTTCAAATTTGAAGGATGGAATTTAAACTCCAATGGCGCAACAGGTATGTTTTAAACCTGTTTCTTTAACTGGTTTGCTGTTGTAACCTGCTCTATGTTGATTTCAATTTCAATTGAATAAACAGTTGTTATTGCTCTATAGTTACCCACACTTATATTCTATCTATTCTGCTTTGTCTTGAACAAATATTATTTGAACTGTGTCTCTATCTTGATTTGGCAACAAAAACTAGAATGATATAGACCATAAAGTGACCATGGCACATAGATATATGTTTGTTTCATGCTGTTATCCTATCCACTTTACTACTGAACTCATTTACCAAAATGAGTTTCATATACAACATGGTAAACATGTGATGTGTCTGTTTGTTTCTCTTTTAGAATGCGGACAAAATATTGGAGAACAGTACCACGTTATCCAATGGTAAAGGAAGTAATGCAGATAAGGTTCAAGATAGTGAGACATCCCTGTTGGTCTCCAAGAAAGCTGATAAAAACTATCTTGACGACAGTGAGGGAACCCAAAAGTCATGTCTTGATGCAGTGTTCGAGTTACTGGCCACTATTGCTGGCACAAGCTCTTCGAACTCGCTGCCTAAATCAGTTCGTCTTCTTGAGTCTCAACTTCAAGTTGAAAGACATCGATCAGATGTGCTGCGACAGGAAGCTGAAGGACTGAGGAAGTCCCTGCAGAATTCAGATGCATATTTTCTGGTGCAACAGCAAGCGCTGGAGGATTTAAGCGCCAAACAAGAGAAAGTTAATAAGCTTGCTAAGCATCTTGCCAGCATTATGGGTACCCAGGATATTATTTCTTGAGATCTTCTGAAGTGGTTTCAGTTCTGGATTTGTTTTGCTGCGGCGTTTATTTGCGCTGGTCGCCAACTTTGACAACCAGTGTATATGATATGCTGCTTTGTTCCCTACATTTGCACTGGTGGCAAACTTTGATGCCCAGTGAATGTAATATGTGTAACAGCCGTGATAGCCTAGCATAAGTTGCTTGCTTATTTATTTCCTTGTTGTCTTGTTTATTTGTTTGCTTGTAGTCAGTGCGGTTCTTTTTAAAACTAGGCCACAATAACCATGGGCTAATATTTACTGTAGTGACAATGGGCCTCCTACGGGCCGTAGAAACAGTGGGCCTTCTACGGGCCGTAGAAACAGTAGGCCTTCTACGGGCCGTAGAAACAATGGGCCTTCTACGGGCCGTAGAAACAATGGGCCTTCTACGGGCCGTAGAAACAATGGGCCTTCTACGGGCAGTAGAAACAATGGGCCTTCTACGGGCCGTATCATCAATGGGCCTTATACGGGCCGTATGACCATAACGGGCCATCGTTAATAGGCCGTATTTGATGACGCTATGAAAACGGCCCAACGTATTAACGGACCACAAACGGGCCGATGTAACCACGGGCTGAATTTGGCCCACAAGCAGAAAATGACAGTAACAGGCTGTAAGTAAACGAATGCTGGAAATGAGTCGAAGAATAAATGGGCTCTGAGAAGGCCGAAAGATAACATTTACTGGAAATGGCCCAACTGAATAACGGGCCCTTAATGGGTATAAAGTGATATACTGTTCATTACGGGCCAGTTTCTGCACGGGCCGTTAGTGGGTGTAAAGTGATACACTGTTCATTGCGGGCCAGTTTCACCACGGGCCGTTAATAGGCCAAGAGTTACATAGGGCCTCATATGGGCCGAAAGACGTCATGGGCCATACATGGGCCAGAAGTGAAAACGGGCTGGAATCATATTGGATGATGGCCCAGATGACGCTACTGGGCCTAATTCGGATAGGGCGTAACGGGCCTTGGGTTAGCGGGCTGTAAATGGGCTATATGCGAACAAGTCGTTAACAGGCTTTCCATGGGCCAGCCCGCCACCTTTTGACCAAGTCAAACAGGCCGGCCTTTTCACAGGAATGGGCCTTTGTTGGGTCGTGCCACGTGTCGACGTATCATAGGCGCCTTCTGTCCAATGAGTGGATGACATCTGTCCCAACGGTGAGCCGACACGTGTTTCCTCCAGCCAATGATGATTTTACACGTGGAAAATCCCCATTGGTCGGGGCTGTTAACGGGTTATCGGATCCAAAACCCGACCCGATAGCTTAACGGCGTTCCGTTACGGTGGATGCCACGTGTCAGTCACCCTTAACGAAAGCAGTTCTGTGACGCGCGATTTATCGTCATGGAAGTGGACACTTCCGTGATGATAATTTTGGTAATGTCATCGAACACTTCTACGATAGCACATGTATGACTATCTTGATTCTGTCATAAATTTGTCATGGATGTACATGCATGACAAAAAACGCGACCTACTGTGACAAACACGTATCATCACGGAAGTGTAGTTTTTTTGTAGTGTCTACCACTACTAACTAAACATGCTATCTGACTACCAAAATTTAGCATGTTTGATTCACGGCTGCCCTTGTCCTTTCCGGCGCCCTTGTCGTCCTTCTCGCGGAAATACCGATCGAAGACGCAGTACGGATCAAGCCGGATCTGCTTGTCGCTAGAGCTGTCCTCATCGCCAGTGTCTGCCTTCTCCTCCTTCGGTGGCAGTCCGGCCATGGCATGGACCGCCTGATTTTTCTCTTGGGCGAGGACACCCCAGTCGACGGATCCGGACTCGTCAGACTCCGATCCGCTGCCTGCCATGCTGGAGAAGGCCGGAGGTGAGCTCTGGTGGGGGGGAGGGGTGTGGAGGGAAGTGGAGTGAAGTGGCTAAGGTTTGCTCCGGCGAGCGGATGAGGACGAATATATGTGGGGTCGGATGGGCCAGCATGTGTCGGGTCCGACATGGCGGGCGTGCCCGGGCGCCCCATATCTGCCCCATATTTGGGCTGGATATGAGGGTGCCAGTCCGGGCGTTTAAGGGCCGTTTGAGGCGTCCCTCTGGGTCGAAAAATCATGACCAGGCGTCCCGCCCGGACATATGAGGCAGGTTTGAGACGCCCAGCTGTAGATGCTCTAATAGTTACATGGTCCATGAGCTTGTTGACTAGAAAGTCAGGGCTCATTCATCCAACTAAAGAAACCTTATTACAGTAATTATAGTTTGCTAGCACACCTGTGGATTGATTAAAAATAAACCGAAAACAATGCTTAAACGCAATCCTCCTTATTGTTGTAGCAGTATGCACAGACTGCATGAAAATTGCTACCGTAGCATCCTACATTTTTACAATACAACAATGAGATTTTCACCATGCTTATCAGTTTTTCGCAAAATAGATAAGAACTTTTTTTGAGCTGAAGATTTTTTTTTGAAAAGAAATAGGAGAAGAAGAATTTCGTTATTATGAGATGAAACATGTTTTGGTGGACGCTGGTTGCTAGGGGCAACGGGTGGACGAAAATAGGCCGTTGGATGTTATTTGGATGACAGGGATTGGATGTTTACTTAGTAGCTCAGCCAAGTTAATTAGAGAATCGCCCACCACACACCACCATCGGAGACACACACGCCATTGGAATTCCCCACCGCCGCCGTCGCCGCCGCCGCCGTCGCGGCGCCATGCTCCACCTCCGTAAGCGCGTCCTCTCCGGCCCGCCCCTTCCTTCCACCTTCCCACTCCTCTCTCTCCAGCGCCTCCTCTCCACCGCCGCCGCGCCCGCCGTTTCCTCGAACCCTAGCTTCGCCGTGGAGGAGTACCTCGTCGCCACCTGCGGCCTCACCCGTGCCCAGGCACTCAAGGCCTCCACCAAGCTGTCCCACCTCAAGTCCCCCGCCAAGCCCGACGCCGTCCTCGCCTTCTTTGCCGGCCTCGGGCTCTCCGGCGCTGATGTCGCGGCCGTCGTCGCCAGGGACCCGCAGATCCTCTGCGCCGGCGTGGAGACAACCCTGTCCCCCGTCGTCGCTGGGCTCACCGGCCTCGGCCTGTCACAAGCTGAGATTGCGCGCCTCGTCTCGCTCAGCCCTGACAACTTGCGCCACAGATCCGTCGTCTCCAAGATAGAGTACTACCTGCCACTCTTCGGCTCCATCGACAACTTGTTCCGGCCCCTCAAATACGGCTCGGGCTTCCTCAACTCCGACCTAGAGAGGGTTATCAAGCCCAATGTCAAGGTCTTAGCAGATTGCGGGCTAGGTGCTTGTGATATTGCCAAGCTCTTCATCCATGCACCGAGGATACTTTCTGCCAAACCAGAGTGTTTCTTGTTGAAGGTTGCGTGCGCCGAAGGTATAGGTGTGCCCCGTGGCTCTGGAATGTTTAGGCAAGCGTTGCACGCCGTCTCATACCTCAGCGAGGACAAGATCGCTGCCAAACTGGACAACTTGAAGAAGACACTTAGGTGGTCAGATACCGAGGTTGGCATTGCTGTGTCCAAGTGTCCGATTCTGCTGAGGAGGTCAAATGACGTGCTACAGCGCTTGTCAGAGTTCCTAATCGCTGAGGTGGGGTTGGAACCGACGTACATTGCTCATCGGCCAGAAATGCTCACTCGTAGCTTGGAGGGCCGGCTCAGGCCCCGGTACAATGTTTTGAGGTTTCTTATGGAAAATGGATTGCTCAAGCGCAACCAAAGCTACTGTACAATTGTTAAATGGACCGAGAAAGAGTTCTTGGAGAACTTCGTATGCCCTCACAAGGAAGCTGCACCATACCTCGCTGAAGACTATGCGGCTGCTTGCAAAGGTGAAGTGCCGGCTAGATTCAGATAATCAGATTTACATGAACCAAGAAGCAGGAACGCGAGTGGAACTACTCTTTAGTAGCCTCGGTGACTGGGAAGATTTTCATGGAAAGGTTTGTATGACCATACAAGCAAGCTGCCCCCGCCTTGCCAAAGACTATGCTGACACTTGTAGGGGAAGTGCCTTCTAATTTCAGATTTACATGACCAATAAGGGGCTATGAGAATTGGTAACTGCGTATGTCTACGTGTAGTGAGCTGGTAATTTTTGTCTCAGTGTTCTTTGCCTAACTAGATGTTGGTTATCTGCTATAGCATGTCCGGTACATGTTAATTCAGTTTCGCCAATCCTGGATGAAACTGATAATTTGATTTTAGAGTACTTGTATGTCTATTACATCATTTAGAGAGAAGAAAGAATCACATTGTATGAACTTGTTCATCATCATCTCATATTGATACGCATTCTGAACTAAGAGAGTGTGACATCAGGGCATTCTGCACATGCTTTCAAATAGTAATGAAGAGTATTACTTAACAGATATATCAAAGGCCCTGGTATTTGTACTGGAGAAGCAAATTGATGCTTGTATGGTATGGTGCTGAAAAGTAGAGGGCATTTCATTCAATACAGGAATACGTTAAGGTAATATTAAAAAGGATTATGGCATTTTAGTCTTTGTTAGCACTATCTATAGATGCTCATGACATTTTTTATCCATTGGCATATTTGTTTTGGGATTGTAAGGTGGGTCTTATGTGCCATGCTCTGTTTTGTAAATTTGCACTTTTAGATGCTCTTTTATATTTGCTTTAGTTGTGTTGGTTACAATCTCTTCTGAAGATGTGTATGCTGGAATTGGAGAAAAGAGAATGAAGATGTCGAAGACTGTTACCTTAGCGAGGAGATGGTCCCAAGGATGATATCTTAACCAAGCTTGGTCTTAGCATTTAAGGGAACGCAGTATTTTTTTTCTCAGTTATACTGAATGTCATCTTTTCAACTCCGCCTATGTCTTCTAGGCATAGCCGGTCCCAAGCCCGGGTAAAGGAGGAGTGTTGTGATAGGCTTGGCGAGCCAACGTAAAAACTAGCCAGTCCCATAGGTATGAAACCCATTTGAGCGAGAATAGTACTAGGATGGGTGACCTCCTAGGAAGTCCTCGTGAAAGGGTTTCATATCTAAGGGTTGTGATAGGCTTGGCGAGCCAACGTAAAAACTAGCCAGTCTTTTGGGTATGAAACCCATTTGGGCGAGAGTAGTACTAGGACGGGTGACCTCCTGGGAAGTCCTCGTGAAAGGGTTTCGTATCTAGCCTACCCCAACTTGTTTGGGATAAAAGGCTTCGTAAAGGTAAAGGTAAAGGACTGAATGTCATCTTTTCGTACACTCTTTTCAGTTAAATCTCAGTCTAGGCAAGTACTATATGTCAGATATAGTGTAGTTATAAAATCTTGCAGAATTGCGAACATAGAAATTGTAGACATGCTGGTCTACCTCAAATTAAGAATTAAGCTGTGTGAGGAGAGGATGATGCACATTTGTTTATTCCTGATGTTAGGTTGTAGAAATGAAAGAAATGAAATCTCAGCTGTGTGCTTGCATAACACAAAGGAGATGGGCACATGCTATGAGTGGCAAAGAGCTCTGATTTGAAATGAAGATCAGTTGTGTGTCTCTTATCTCGTGCCTAATTTAGCTTGTGGGAATTATAGAAATAAGATTAATGCAATGAAGGTGAGGACAAAGGGTCGATTGGTGAAAGAGGTGACTTGCCAGGTGATTATGAATTGATAAAACAGTACTTTCCTCAAGTAAGAATTGGCTGGGCAGTAAAACAGTACTTTCCTCAAGTAATTTACTGAATGTTGTAGATTGATGGTGCTTTCTTTCTTCCAGGAGAAGATGTGATGAAACTGGATATAGATGCATACTTCTTTCTTCTTCTTTCCAGGAGATCGACCAAGTATGGTGGCTGGGCCTTTGCTATATTACACGTGATTCTGAAGGCCTTGTTAGTTGATGATGCCCTGAAGCTTCCTTCTGTAACGAGTATTTATGACCTGATGCATTTTGGGGTTTTATTCAGAGAAGCACCTACTTTTCTCTTTCTGAATTTTGTAAGTTATTTAATTTTCTCGTATTGCCCTACATATTTTATGTAAACTCTAGATATGTTAACCTTGGTGCATGTATTGATCTATGGTTGAAGGAAATTAAACAACCCAATGTGCCCATGTATTGCTGTTCCTTTCAATTTATCAGCAAATGTTCGGGCTAAACTTGATACGGAGTATATGTTAATTCTACTCGAAAAGATGAATAAGATACCCAGTTCATCCTAGGAACTGCAAATCAAAACAAGTAGTGAGTCGACATAGACAATTAACTTAGCTGCAGCCAAAATCAGGGGAATCAACAAATGTTGTTTAACAAGCCATATCGAGTTGAATACAGTGAAAACCTGATGTTCTGTTTGAGAAAAGCTAAATGGTGTTAGTTTCTGTTCAAGTATCAACACTGAACTTGATACTTTATGATAATTTACATGCACAGCACGACGTGTTTTTCTTTTGCACTGCTCTAAGGTAGGAACTTGTGCTCTGAACTTTTCTTTTGTAACACTGGCAAACTTCTTGTGTTATCAAATGGTTTTTTTTGTACTCTACCTCTGTGAGCACTGCTGCGGAATGAGTTGTTGAAATATTTGGACAACGAAGCTGCTGCTTGTGCGATAGCACATGATGTTTAACACTGCTCAGTCGACAGGTTGAATTTAGCACCAGCTAATGCGTGCAATTTCTTATTATTCCTATAGAAAAGCCACAAATGCTTAGGAGCTATTTAACCAGTAAATTTTATTAAGTCAACCATGCATTCCATAAAAAAAATACTGGAGTTGATAATCAGATGTAAAATCAAATTTCTTTGTTTTCCGCTAACATTTATGCCATGTAAGCAACTAGATGTGGAATTTGAAGCCGCTAGCTAATTGATGGTAGTTTACTCAGACTCATACTTAGTTCGTCTCCTTCTGTTGGTCTTACTAGAGCTTTTCTTCTATGGAAACAGACTTAAAAGAGCTTTTTATGTGTAGGAATAAAGTTCAGCATGTTATTCACCCTCCGATGTGCATGATATCCAAGATAAATGATTGCTTAATCTATCGGCATTAACCTGCACTTCCATTTCCATGCTTTGTATGCTCCTGTGTTGTTTTTGTATATGTTGAGCTCTACTACGTATGTTCATGCCCTTTTTTGTGTGATTTTCAGGCTGGGGGTGCATACCTTTCCGGAACCCTGAGCAGTTTCTGCAGTAGGAGATAAATTCTTTGCCGCCTAATTCTACTTGGAGAGGTCCGGCTTTCGTTTCCCTGATTTTTCTCAGATAAATGAGAAGCGGGAACAAGTTAAATATGCACTTTTTGGTAGGACTTCTGACGAGAGAACTCTGCAGCAATGGTATCGTTTAGAGTATCCGCTGCAGCAATGGTACTGATTCTGAGGATGGTCTGAGATCTGGCGATATATGAAAGCAAAGGACCGAAGGCATCGGTGCAGTTGAGTTGGATTATACTCTGCAGACGCAAGCTTAGATCATCGCCGAAGGAGGGACACACTCTGAAGTTGGCGGGGAAGATCAATGTGGTACAATCAAGCGTAGCTAGCTGGTGCAGTTGGCAATAGTTTGAGAGGTGAGGAAGATGAGATGAACCTGCAATGGCTGAGCTTTTCACCCAGATGACTTTTTTTAACCATAAAGAGGGCCAGAAACTATGTGTAAGATCTGCTACAGAAACACGGTGGGTTTCATTGTTTCTGTTGGAGGAGCATCAAGACATTGTTTCACCCAGTTGGCAATGTATGTGAACACCATCTGGTTATTGGTATCTATAAAAAGGGAGAAACGAACACCACACCTCACTGGCGGAG